TCGTACATTTTAGTACGAGCTTCGTTGAAGGCGTCACGAAGCTCTACTAGGCGGTCAACCTCGTACTCGTCAGGATTTTCTGGTAGCTCTATTTTCCCAAGTGTGTCGCACAACCTCTTGAAGAAGGAATCAAGTTTGTCAGCGGTGGCCGACTGCTTTCGTATCAGGCTCTTGAATGCATCTTGGAACTGCTGGTGCATGGCTCTAAATTCAGGAGGGGGGCTTTGGGTGCCTGATGACGTCCCCAAAGTCCCCTCGATGGGCGGTTGATGATCGGGGTTCCGCGTCGAGCTCTCGACCGGCGGCGCGTAGTGAGTCTGCGTGCCCTGGTGAGAGATCATAATCCCGCTCGGCACGGCCGTGCCCGACAAGACCCGTGTCAAGCCTTCGTTCTCGCTCGTCAGAGAGAGGACTTGTCTTTCGAGTCCAGCCGACTCCCTCCGGTGGTCCTCTTCCAGATTCTGGATCTTGAGTTCGAGGGCATCCACCGTCTTCTGATGTTCATCTTTGATCTTAGCTAGATCAGCATTCTCGTCAGGCGCTTGGTTCCGACTCTCTAGATGTTGAACTCTGAGCTTGAGCTCCTCTATTGTTTTCTGTTGAGCTTCGATCTCTGTCGGATCAGCACCCTCGCCAGCAGCTGAATTGCGGCTCTCCAGGTCGCGGATCTTGGACTCGAGGCCATCCGCCACTTCCTGGTGCGTAGCTTTGGTCCTCTCCAGCTCAGTCTCGCCCACCTCGGCTCTCCTCTTCAAGGTCTGAATCTCGTTCTCCAACCTCTCGACGGTTTTGTTGTGTTCCGCCATCCACTCTTCTCGCAATTCCTTGTCTTTCTCAACTAGCTTGCCTTTGATCATGTTTTCGAGGTGGTCGACACCCTCTTGCTCCACTATGAGACGCCTCTTCAGCTCACTGTCGTATCTTTGATTTGCAAAGCTCCATTTATTCCGGAATTCGACAACCTTCTCTTCAACTGTGCGTACTTCCGCATTGAGGCGCTCGCCGTGTTCGTGGCATTCGTCGAGAGCCTTCTGCTTCGCCTTCAACTCCTCCTTTTTGTCCCTGAGCAAAAGATCATTTTCTCGTATTTTCCCATCCTTGTGTCGAATTTCTTCGTCCTTGCGTTTGATCTCCTCAATCTTCTTCCTCATCTCCTGCTCGATTTCTCGTAGTTGTTCCAGGAGCCTGAAGTTTTGCTCTGCAACTTCGTCTGCAGAATCCATGTACGTCTTGAGATCCTCCTTCAATGCGTCCCTCTGTTGGGATAGTTCCACCTTTTCTTCCTGGAGCCGATTCCTCTCAAGAGCCAGGCTGTTTCTTTCCTCCCGAAGATTCTTGGCATCCTCATGGAGGCCTGCGACCATCTGTTGGATCTCTTGCAGATCTCTGCGGCTCGCTGCCTGCTCGCTTTCCGCTTTGTCCACGCGGTCTATCAGGTCGGCCACCAGCTGGAGGTGTTCTCCCGGGTCGTCCAGTAAGCTCGCACCTGTGCTCGATCCGTCCGCTGTGGCAGCCTCTTGTGCCATCTTTTCTTGCGCCAACTTTTCTCGCGCGCAGGCGTACATAGCCTTGGCCTCAGCTTTGCCCAGTCTGTCGTGGACAGCGCTTAACTGCCCCTTGAGCTGCTCAGAGACCTGCGACATGAACTCTTCCCTCCTCTGGGACCTCTTGAGCTCCTTTGTTCGTTGCTGGAGCATAACTTCCAAGTCTTTGATATTCTCGTCGGCTTCCTTGCGATTGGTCTCGAAGTCTTGTTCGTCGCGCGCCTGGATAGCAGATGGTCTGTTGGCTTCTCCCTTCGTTCGTTCAGCATTAGATTCGTGCTCCTCGATGGTCTGCTCCAACACCCGAGCGCTTGCTTTGAGCTCCGCAATCTCATCAGCAAGCTTCTTGGCCTCATCTTTGAGGTCTTTTATCTCCTTGTCGGCTTCCTTACGATGATGCTGGCACTCATTCAATGCGACTTTGGTATTGCGTAGCTCAAGGGACACGTCCCCTTGGCCAACCTTGCTTCCCTGGGACCCCTGCGTACTGGTCAGTATCGCCTCAGGAATGGAGCTGCTTGAACTCACTGCCGAAGAAATTTTATCGAGTCTGCTGAGTTCATCCTCGATTGTCTGTAGTGTGCGATCGGGGCTACCCTGGTTCTCTTCCGGTTCCTATGAATCCAATTAGTAATTCCATCCAATCTTGCGAGGTTCGATTCAGCTTACCGCGGAGGACTGGCTGTTGAATTCTCCAAGCTCCTTCGCGAGATTAAGCCTCTCTTCAGGCTCGCTCTCGGTCTGCGATTCTTCACATTTCGAAGCCACCGCCCCAGAAGTCCGCTTGGGAGGCGAGAACAAATCATCAGAAAGTGACTGCGAAGGCTTTTCATCGGAAAGCACGACGGCATGAGGGTATCTGCGGAAGCCGTCGTTACCGCCGCACACCAAGTCCGCTAGCCTAGCTTCCCCTTCCCGCCAGTTGCTGTGCAGGTTGATGGCGGCATCGTCCATGGCGAGGCCGTAGAAACCGACAACTTCTCCGATGATGTCCCGCATATCGTCCATGGGAACGTCTTGCTTCAGTGCCTCGTCGCGTTCCGTCTCTGCCTGGGCTAGTCGCACCTCCAAGTCTGAAACCTCGCCCCTCGCATTGTCGACGAGCTTGCGATATTCGGCAAGGGGAACATTCTCGTGGTCGACGGTGAAAGTCATGTTTTCCACCTCGATTTGGGCTTGGGAGACTTTCCTGGTCTGCTCCACCAATTGTTTCCGAAGGCTCTCTACCGTGGCTAGCGCTTCCTTGACTTGCTTTTGGTGGTCCACCAACTGCTTTTCCATATAAGAAACGTCCTCTTCGTGCCGCTTCTCCTTCGCCTGCCACACGCCCTTCTCTTCTTCAAGTTTGCGCTCCGCTGTCGCCCTGGCTGACCTTTCGGCATTGAGCTGATCACGCAGCTTAGAGATGGTACTCTTAAGCTCTTCCTCGTTCACTGGAGGAGCCATTTGTTGGATGCGCAATTGAACTTCATTGAGCTCTGCTGTGCGGTGCTGGAGTGCAATCTCCTTCTCGTTGCACTCATTCTGAGCTGTCTTGAGCTGGTTTTGATTTGCTTCCAGGCTCGACTTGAGTTTGTCTCGCTCGTTGATACACTTCGTGAACTGCACCTCGAGATCTAATGCCTTTTGCTCAAGTGGGCCAAGTTCGCCAAGTTTGTCAGTTTGCGTTGCCACGATCTGTTGCAGTGCGGTCTTTTCCCCCTCAAGCTGCGCGTGTGCTTGCGTCGAGGCCTCAAGTTTTGAACTCTCGATCTGAAGCTTCTCTTGCCACGTACTGCATTCTTCGGAGACCTTTGAGGCAAAATTCTTCAAGAGTTGCTCGCATGTTATGGGCGCCGGCTCCTTGTTGACTAGATGAAAAATGCCGTGTGATTCCGCGAGGCCTCTTAAATAGTTTCTTACATCCTCGAGCCCTTTCGACTCAGTCGACTCAATTAGCTCCGCAGTTGGTGCTGGATTGCTCGATTGAGTTTCCTCGCCTTCTTGTTTGGCTAGCGGAGTCGACTCGGAGGTGGTTGGAGCCGGACTCTTCGGGCGGCTTGGCTGCCTTGCTTGCTGAACGGGAATAGTGCCCCTGGAAACGCCGGGGTTGCGACGCCTGCCCCTGGATACTGAACCATTGCGCCGGGAGACGCTTGAGCTTCCGGAAGCTGAATCTGACAGCAGTCCTTCGTCTAGACCTCGACTTACTGGAATCCCTGCTTCGCCTGCAGGACGACCAGAAGACACATCCTGTATGGCTGATACGGGCGTAGCTGGTATTGGGAGACCATCCCGCGAAGGGCTTGCCACGCTCCGCATATCCAACTTCGCTCCAGTGATACCCTTCCCAGCCAAAGCGGCCCAGGAGACTCTGGAAGGTTTTGCTGTGTTTGACGAGTCACCGCGAGGCGCTGATGATGTGGACGCCCTGCTTCCACTTCGCTGTTGCTCTCCATTTGCTGGAGGTTGTCCGGAGCCCTGGTCCGATGAAGCCCGCACATCTAGCTCATCTTTCGCAGATGTTGCTGTAGTTGGAGGTTCCTCCCGAGAAATCGTTCGACCTCGGGTCACCTCACTCTCGGGAACCTCATCGCCCATCTCCCCAGCCATCTCTCTCGGTGCCAAGTATGTCAGTTTTCAAGCAAGGTGTCCTTACAAATTCTCTCATATGATCTATGATGTAAAACAGCAAGGAAAACAAGATAGAGAAAGATAAGAAGAGGAATGAAAACAACAAAAGCTGCCCAAAGGTCTTTGATCTATGCGGGCACGCCGTACTTATGCCATAGGTTGTCTTTGGGATGGCGAACATTGAGTTGGCCTTGAGGAGTCCCGAAGTAGGAAGCATACTCGAAGTCATTCCATCGACATGATACAAGCATTCGACTTCTAGGGAGGAGCAGATTCTCCCAAATCGAGGGAGATGATAATGCGTCCGTTTGCGGATCAGACTGCCCTGGTCAGTGCAACTCCCATTCAACTCTCAACAAAGCTTACAAACCGGAATCTGGAAATAACAAGTCAAAGGCTCAATGTTGAATAAGGGAGCGTGGACCAACAATGAGTACTCTGGAGTTGGTCAAAGACTTGCGGACGTGCACATCCCTTGGAATCTTAGACTGTCTTTGTGGCCGGTTCCCCTACCTCGTCTTCGCCTCAATGACCTCTTGGTACCTTACCTTATGACATAACACAAGGTTAGCAAGCCCGTTCTGAAGTTTCGGCAAGTCGGGGACGGCCCAGAGCGTGATGCTGCGGAGGGCGTCAGCTGCCCCATTAATTCATTGCTAGGTAGGTCAAACAATTCCCCCATACTGGCGTCCTTGGGAATATTCCTCCAATCCTTCGTTCTGTAAAACCTCCCACAAAACTCCATTGCAACATTTTGACCTGGTATTCTATATCGTCCTGCACCAGTGAACGACGGAACTAAGATGCTATGCCGAAACGCCAGATACGCCGTTTTGTCTTTCTCTAATTGTACCATCCCCTGGCACCGGGACCTTGCGCTGTTGCTTCTTTCCGATGGGTGATCATCGGCTCCTTAATCTCAAATGTGTCAATGATATCTTGCCATGTTTGCATGTCCATGGAAAAGATTGCTTGCTGCTTCGCTGTCTCACGCTTGACTGTGCCGTCCTCGTTTGCGTCTCCATTGCTGATGGGATCTGAAGTCCAGTCAGTACAATCAATGTCACATGTTCAGATGATGACCGGCTTACTGAGAGAGGGGTACTCGTCGCTGTCAAACTCGATGCCAACCTTTCCATCACGAATGAGGAAACTGACGTAGAACATATTTTCCACCGTTTGGCCAAAGGACTTGGGGTTGACAACGAAACGAAGTAGGTCAACACCGCCTGTATCCCGTAGACCGTACTTCTGCATGAGTTGAATCTGCTCGGCGTCGTCCATTTCGGTGTTTTCGAATATTTCAGAGAGCTCCGTTTGAATGCTGCTTTGCACCTTGTCCAGCTGCTTCAGAATCTTACCGCAGATAGCGGTCAAATCATTCTCCTTCTTGGCAAGGTCCTCGACATTCAACACCTCGGGTCTCGTCTCTTCCAGGTTATTGGGTCTGAAGGGGGCGGTGCGCTTCGAGATCTTGCGTACTTTCTTCTCAACGGACAAGGGACCAAGGAGAAAGCCGGGCAAGGCTGGCCGACGAACATTTGGTAAGGAAGCGAAGCGTCCGAGATGGCTCCAGTTGAAGGCCTCGTCGTTCCCTTCATCCTCATCATCGCGTGTATTGTTATTGGTGCGGCGTCTCCGTCTTTGTGTACCGGATAGCTCTGGCGCCTCGTCGTCTGCGATTCCACCGGCTTGCCGCATGTAGGTGCAGCACTTGGAGACGAACTCATCCACATCGACACCCTCGGTGGAGCTTCCCTGCATCAACCTCACGGTTTTGCGGTACGACATATCGACGGCGCTGACAAGCAGGCGAGAGTCTATTGTCGCCTCCGTAGTTTGCTTCACACCCCTAGCAACGCGCTGAGCCATCATCAAGGTATCCTTCAGACCCGTTGAGCCTGGCAGCATGTACTCTTCCATGTTTTCGTTGATGCCCTTATGAAGGTCTCGGAGCTTTCGTTGGATTTCTCGACGTTCTTCCATTGGTTGGTCTGGGTCATAGATGTCCGAGTCGTATCCTTCTTCTTCTTCTTCTTCCTCTTCTTCTTCTTCTCTCTCAACGGAGCGCGTAGCTCGGCGACGTGCGGCATGACCCCCATTTTCCGTATCTGTACGTTTCCGCTTACCAATGGAGACATCGCGGCCTTTGCCTTTGTCTCTCGCGGCGAGATGACCGCGCGCAGGACGGGGCGCATCATCTTCGCTCGACTCGGGGGAGGACGAGCCTCCAACTCTCGCCGGCATTCTCGATGTTGACCGGTTTGCTTGTTGAGGAGTTGCTGTGTGTTCGGTGTTATGGTCGTCGAGGATTTTGGCTTGATATGAGGCAAGGCCTGGCGTAGAACCAAAGAGTGCGCCTTCTGCACGATGTTCGATGACGAGTTCGGGTGGTTGTGCAGGATCTCACGCGTGAATTTGCGACTGGACATGGAAGACGCGACAGGCACTTCCCAGGCGACCCTTCCACTCAACGCGCTCCAACAATCGTTATCGCACCCATACGTGCGTGGGGTGAATGTAGGTGGCTGAGGATGACGGGCTTATCGATAAGATATAGGTAGGTCTGGAGACATGTGGCTGAGGCGGGGGTCGCAGACGACAGAAATCCACAGCTTGCTAGCCCATGCTGGGATGTACTGCCTACCTAATGCACTCCACTGGAGCTTCCCACAGTCAGCTGCCGCCTACCAGTGCTTATCCAGTCTGGTGCAGTCAGTGACCTCAACCTGCGCTACCTACCCACAAACACATGCAACCGCTGTCTGTCGCATTCGCCGAACGACATTCTGCAACTTGCCTACTTCATTGCATGATGGACTCATAACCTCTTCGTACGAGCTCCTATCCTCACAATGGAGCCATTTTCATTTGCCAGCTCCGAGTCTCTAGACTATCCAGTCAGCATCCGCATGTATGCGCCCAGCTCCTGCGTCGTTCCCAACCCGGATAATGCGCGTGACTGACGCTACCGTGATAGTATTAATCTAGAGGGCGACGAAACACCATTTCTGCATTCCACTTTATTGGAAAAGGCCGAGCTGAGACATATCGGCTCTAACACAAGGTAATACCTTTCGTACGGCTGCTGGTCGCCATCGCTAACTTGCTAGCTCGCACTCCGATTTCTACGTCACCGTGCAAGTATGGGCCGGCTCGAAGCCGTTGACAGTACCTATCCAGACGGCATACAAATCGTTTCGCAATGAGAGGAGGTAAGTCGCGCCCCTTACGTCTGGTGGATGATCCTGGGAAAAGACCTCTGACGCGGAGCGCGCGTAGATGGAACGAATGGCTCACTCTGCCGATCAACTACAAAACCCTCCCTCTAAACTCCTGCTTAGCCATCACATTATGGGACTCATCACCAGCTGGTGGAAAACAAGCGAGAGGCCATGCGATCCCCTTCGGCGGCACAACGCTCCCACTGTTCGACCGAGACAATCAGGTGCAGAAGGGCCGGCAGAAATGCATGGTCCACCGACACAAGAACGCCGATGGGAATGACAATACCACTACGCCTGCGGTTCCGCGGAAGAAACGGGACGGCTCGAGGAAAGGAGCCACTCCAACGGTAGATAAGGATGCTGAAGAGCTGGAGCGCATGGAGAAGCTATTCAAGAAACACGAAATGGGCGAGATACCTAGAGTCGACTGGCTTGATCAGCTTGTCTTCCGTGGCTTTGAGAAGCGCGGACTACAATCGGCAAAAGCATCACTCAAGACTATGCAACGCCAGAGGACGACAAATGGAGATGCATCGACCGAAAAGGAGGGAACTTCAGACGACAAGGGTATCGTGAACACCGAATCCCATCCTGGGTTTTCCAAGTTCCAGCTCAACGTGGAGTTGCCGCGATTCGACTTCCCAGTTGTATTTGCGGACCTAGAATATGATCCTCCGCCGATTTCGGCGCTTCAGCATGTGTCTGCTTCTCAGTCTAACGTAATGTTGAAGCCGCCGCCCGAAGTGCAGTTTGGTCCTGGTATCGACGCGCTTGACGATTCAGCTGGGAGTCGATTGATGAAGGTTTATGACCCTGAGGTTGGTGCTCGCGACAATCCAGCCGAAAGCAAGCACAGAAGGCTTGTCAGAAGTCAGCATCGCCACGGGGTTCTCGATAAGGATCTCAAACCAAATGCCAAGGTCCGAGATGAGCTGAATCTCATCATGTCGTATTCGCCAACGCACACGTTAACCCCGGAGGAGAAGGATTTAATCTGGAAATTCCGCTATCATCTCACTCGAGACAAACGGGCTGTTACCAAGTTTGTGAAATCAGTCAACTGGCAGGATCAAAGCGAAGCCAAGCAGGCAGTGCAAGTCTTGGGACGCTGGACCGAAATCGACGTCGACGATGCTTTAGAGTTGCTTGGCCCCACCTTCGACAACCAAGCTGTTCGAGCGTATGCTGTGGAAAGACTACGTAAGGCGGATGACCATGAGCTGCTCCTTTATCTGCTGCAATTGGTGCAAGCCTTGAAATACGAGCATATCCAGGCCGACTCTTCCCAGGAGGCCATTCATGATTCGTCTCTGGCTCAATTCTTGATATCCCGAGCAGCCGGTAACTTCCTTCTTGGCAACTACTTCCATTGGTACCTGATGGTCGAATGCGACGATCACAGCCCAGAGCAGGGATTGGATAACCGCAACATCTACCGAAAGGTGGCCTACGACTTCATGACTGAACTAGTGAAGCAACCGGATGGAGTCGAATCGAGAAAAACACTCTTGAGACAGGCTGAGTTGATTGCCATCTTGTCCAAAATTTCTGGGGAAGTCAAAACGTCACACGAATCCATCGCCAAAAAGACTGACCGCGTCAAACACTTCTTGGCAGATCCAAAGAATGAAATTCTGACAATTGACCCGCCATTGCCTTTGCCGCTCGACCCTACTATGCTAGTGGTCGGGGTGGTACCTGACGAGACGACGGTCTTTAAGTCATCTCTTTGCCCAATCAAGGTCACCTTCAAAACCAGCACCGGCAAGAAGTATCCCATCATCTTCAAGACTGGTGACGACCTGCGCCAGGACCAGTTGGTCATTCAAATCATTACTCTCATGGACCAACTACTGCAGAAAGAAAACTTGGATTTGAAGCTGTCTCCCTACAAAATTCTGGCAACCAGCACAACAGCAGGCGCTTCTCAATTTGTTCCATCCGTCAGCTTCCAAAGCATTGCTTCGAAATTCAGAAACAACCCAGCACTGACCTACTTGAAATCCAACAACCCAGACGACCGGCAACCCCTAGGTCTACGTCAAGAAACTCTAGACACCTATATCAAGTCTTGCGCAGGATACTGCGTGATTACCTACATTCTAGGCGTCGGCGATCGGCATCTGGATAACCTTCTCCTCGCCCCGGACGGCCATTTCTTCCACGCCGACTTTGGATTTATTCTCGGCCGAGATCCAAAGCCATTTGCACCGGTCATGAAGCTCTCAAAGGAAATGGTCGACTGTATGGGCGGAGTCAACTCAGAGCACTTCAAACAGTTCAAGCAGTATTGCTTCCTGGCATACACTGCTTTGCGTAAATCCTCCAATCTTATTCTCAACTTGTTTAGCTTGATGGTGGACGCGAACATTCCTGACATTCGACTTGAGCCTGACAAGGCGGTGCTGAAGGTTCGTGAACGATTTCACCTGGAACTTACAGAGGAGGAGTCAATGCTATTCTTCGAGAGGATCATCGAAGACACTCTAGGAGCCATTGCTCCGGTTGTCATTGACAAGCTGCATGAGCTTGTGCAGGCTTTCCGAAACTGAGGGATGGTTGTCAGGCTTGGAGGTTCCGTATGCATTAGAGTTTGAGCTCATAATGGACAGCAACAACAACGTTGGCGAGTACCAAGAAACCACAGTAGTCTCATGGACACACCCGATTATTATCCTTTACTTTGGGGCCCAAGCCTGCTCATCGGAGATACCGGGTACCTCGCTGCTGATACCTTGACGGAGTCCTTGCCGCAATGAGCAGATTTGGAAACCCCGTGACCTTCCCACCAAGAAAAAGAAATGCTATGGAAGCCATCAGATTCCTAGCGGAATACATAGTGATGTATGTATGAGGCTCTATGCGCGATTTGCATATGTCGTATAAGGACCGTAGAGGCGCACGGCTTGATTCGCAACAGTCCAAATCTACCTCGCAACGGGTTGAGAACTATAGTGCCAGCCAAATGTACCTATCTCCGACACATATAACCATGTTGAGACCTTGAGAACTTAGAAAGATATATATAAAGGTCTTAGGCTCTCCATTACGATTCCATTCTTTCGGGCCAACATCTCAAAAGTCGACCATAGTCCCCTTCTCTTCAAAATTTCCAATTTTCTATTCTGTCTTGCCAACTCAGTTATATCAAAATGGACGCCAATAACCTTCCCACTTTTGAGGAGCGCCGTGAACGGCTTGAGGACATATTCGACTTCCTTGGAGACACCGATCCTGAGAGCGTGTCTCCTAGACTGCGTGAACCTCTCCTAGCACTGCAGCGTCGCGCTGTTGCATGCCAGGCCCCGTACGATGCAGACATCGAAGAAGAGCTCGCAGTGTGGCGGGACTTTCTCGAAGTCCAGGAGGACATCCACAGGTTCATGGGCTACCGCCGCTTCCTCTGGAGACTGAGAGAAGCGGATACAAAGAACTTTCTCACTACTTATCTCTCAGGTCGATCCTGGGCCCGAGAGTGGTTGCCGAACGGAGGTGTTCCTCACAACGCCTGCGAGCAATGCAGCTATTGGCTACCTAGTCGCCAGCAAGAATGTGAATGCCAGTTCATCTGCCAGCCTCTATGGTTGATTCTTGAGGATTACCACCATGAGCGAGATCAATTCAACGTGTGGCTTAGGAACGCCACGATAGCGATGGGTGTAGCAGATGAGCCTCAGCCTCCGTCCCCCGTCGACGACTTCTTTGCGAGGGTCGCCACCTACAGCCTGGAACACGACGCCCCTGGAGATTCATGGGGTGTCAGAAGCATTTACGAAGTCTTGTTACAGACGTATAGCCATACAAGGGGCGAGCAGGTCACTTGTCGCGACTTCCTCCAGATGGGGTTGGACTACACGCTGAACCGGATCAACTGGGACCAAATGTCCGTTCTCAATCGCGTCCGCGGCATTCTCAACGATGACGAGGCCCAAGAGCTTGTGGAGGCGATCCATTACGATGGTCTGATGTACTACGTCTCATCTTTCCATCTCGACGTCGACGGCAGATATGTCGACCAGC